GTATTGTGTTACAAAGGGCAGTATTTTCTTAGGTGCGGTTTTGTTTTTCTGCGCTAGCGACATTTCTCTATCAGAGAATTTCATCTCTGAAAGGTGTTTTTCTACAATTCTAGCTGGGTAATCTCTATTCCGCAGGCGTGTTTTAAAATTACTCATGTTTTCCTCAAAAGTAAATTGCGAGTAATTTGTTCTCATCAGAAGCCTTAACGCTTCTCCTTTTATAAAGTCTAAGTTTGCTACTACAGCCCTCAGAATCTGTTGGATTGTCCTAGAGTCACCCTTATCATTCACATTGTCCGCCATATTGACCAGAGAGTTCGAGTGAAGGGAAATCTTTTCGCGCCAAAATGCAGTTACGCAAACATCCCGTATGTACAGTGTAGCGAAACTCTTATCATTTCCGGTTGCTGTGTATTTTTACTTCCGCTTCCTTTCGAATTGAAATTTTGGTTTTTCGAATTCGAATATGTGACAGGACTTTCAGTTCAAATTAAAGATTTCATTTGGAATTTTGTGGAAGATTATGGTTGCATTGTTGACGATTAAGTGGCTTATTAGATTGGAGAAGGTGAATTGAAGTTCAAATCATGTAATTTGCATTTTAGTTGGAATGGTGATTTGAACTTCAACGTCCGCGATGTCGAGTTTTCCCTTGTAGTTTCAACTTGTTCAAAGTAACTTCAAGTTCGAATGATGCTATTTCGACTGCGTTCATTGCGATTTAAAATTCATATGACGAGATTTCGACATGGATAGTCTAATTTTTGAACTTCAAATTGTCTTTTATTTTCAGTTATTTTTGTCCGCAAATGTACGCCATAATGAGTATTCAGGCAGAGTGGCAAGGTTCAATGCGATGTGGCAAAAGAGATATACGCCTTTAAAATTCTGTTAATTTTGCGGGTGTCAAAAACTCAAAAAGTATACCCACCAAAAGTATAATCGATCGTTGCGAAAACGTTATCAATTTCGAAGTAGTTTCTAAAAATACAATAAAGAGGGATTGTTCTTTCAATTTGTATCGGCAAAGGAAGATTAGCTTTGATGACGGGGTTGTAGTCGAAGGCTCAAAAGCAGCTTCTATTAACCAATATGGCGCCGGTCCGAGGCACCCAAAAACCGGCCATGTCGATAATTTCCGAAATAGGAGGAATTAGAACCTAAAGTTACCTATTCCTTATTAAAGACCCCAAATCAAGTCTACTTGCCAATTTTTTTAGCCAATTCGGTGAGATAGTGAAGCAGCAACTTTTCAATATAGCTCGAATCTTACAGACAACTGCTCTTAATAAACTGAAAATACGGAGCAAATATTTAATTGTTTGCTGACAAGGTGCATGTAGCAGTCATATAAGGAAGACAGATATATTAAAAAAGAGTTCAGTTGACTGTAGCCGCATCGCAGAAAAGTCATGGAAATGAAAAATTTTACTGGAGGTGAAAACCCGCAAACAATTGCAGAACTTCACTGCTCTGTGGAATTTACTGGAGAGGTACATGGCGTGCTCGTTTTTCTCTCTGTCATCGACATTTTTTGTCAATTACAGCATTTTTGGGGAATACTCTGATCCTATTTGCCTTTCGCAAGGACACATCAATTCATCCGTCATCCAAACTCCTGTATCGTAACCTTGCGATAACCGATCTCTGTGTTGGTATCATTGCGGAGCCTCTACGCGTTGCTTATATGATCTCTGTGGTGAACAGAAGACGGGTTATTTGCTATTACACAATTTTGACAACATATTTCGTAAGTGTTACTTTGTGTGGAGTGTCGTTGATAACACTGACTGCAATAAGTGTGGACAGACTTCTCGCTTTGCTACTGGGTCTCAGATACAGACAAGTTGTAACTTTGAAAAGAACTCGTTTTATTTCTGTTGGTGGTTGGATTGTGTTTATTGTCGGTGCATCTACCTCCTTTCTTAGTCGTTTTATAGTTTCATTGTACGCATATATAGGTGCAGCTTTTTGTTTACTCCCTACAATCTGTGCCTACACAAAAATCTTCATGTCTCTGCGTCATAACCAAATTCATGGTGAGAACCATGTTGTTCAAGGACAATCGAGCCAAGTAAATACACTGAATAAAGCTCGATACAGAAAGGCAGTGTACAGTGCACTGTGGGTGCAGGTAACATTGCTTATTTGTTATCTGCCGTTCGTTATAGCTGAAGCTTTAACACCTCAAAGGGGAATGCAGTTATCTACTTACCTTGCTAGGGGATTTACAATTACTTTAGTGTATTTAAACTCGTCGTTAAACCCGTTTCTGTACTGCTGGAAGATCACAGAAGTGAGACAAGCTGTAAAAGAAACATTACAACAACTACACTTCTGTACCTGAGCTAAGACTTAGACTAAGAACATTTACTAACGAACTTGCAATTGATAAGAAAATATGTGTAAGAAAACCAGACAAATGTCCTAGTCCCAATTGCACCTCTAAGATTGTTTTCTGTTTCATTGCAGATTGTAAAGACACAAACAAAATCATTTG